TTTTTTTTTTTTGGGTCCAGTCGTGGGGCTTGAACTCTGGGCCTGGGCGCTGTCCCTCAGCTCTTCAGCTCAAGGCTAGCGCTCTACCACTTGAGCCACAGCGCCACTTCTGGATTTTTTCTTATGTGGTGCTGAGGAATCGAACCCAGGGCCTCGACCATGCAAGGCAAGTGCTCTACCACTGAGCCACCTTCCCAGCCCCTGCAATTTTGTTATTTAGAAATACAGATTTCATTGGTTTTTTATTTATATACATTAATATTACAAGTTATGCTTCATTATGACAAAAGAAATACATTCACCTTGAAATGAAAACAAAAATTGTTTTATTATTCAGATGTAATCACTCTTTTCACATTTATCCTATCTTTGTGGGGTTTTTTACCTACTTTTTATGGAAAGTAGATTAAAGTATGAAAAATTAATTTCATAGGATTCCATGGAAAAGGAGAAGAGGAATGTAATTGACAGTTCAGAATTAGAGAGTACAAGAAGAGAGGACTCAGAAGCTGACACTGTATCTACGTAAGTACTTGGGAAGTAGTGTAAAAGGAGTAACATTGATTGATTGATTGATTGTCGGTCATGGGGCTTGAACTCTGGACCTGGGTACTGCTCCTGAGCTCTTCAGCTCAAGGCTCGCACTCTACCACAAAGCTAGCACAGTACCACTTCTGGTTTTCTGAGTGATTTATTGGCAATAAGAGTCTTACGAACTTTGCTGCCCCGGCTGGCTTTGGCTTTGAACGGCGATCCTCAGATCTCAGCCTCCTGAGTAGCTAAGATTACAGGGGTGAGCCACCGGCATCCGGCCAACTTTTATATATATATTTTTTTGTTGGTTGTACGGCCTGAACTCTGGGCCTGGGTGCTGTCCCTCAGCTCTTCAGCTGTAGACTAGCCCTGTACCACTTGAGCCTCAGCCCCACTTCCACCTTTTTCTGCTTATCTGGTGCTGAGGAATGGAATCGAGGACCTCATGCATGCAAGGCAAGCTCTACCACTGAGTCATCTTCCCAGCCCCATAATTCTTTTCTTTTTGTGCTGATCCTGGTGTTCTTCAGCTCAAAGGGAGCGCTCTACCACTTTGAGCCACAGCGGCCACTTCTGGTTTTTCTGGGTGGTTTATTGGTTTATTGGAGATAAGATTTCTGCCTGGGCTAGCTTTGAACTGTGATTCTCAGATCTCAGCCACCTGAGTAGCTAGGATTACAGCTGTGAGCCACTGTCAACCTGGTTTGATAATAGATTTTTGGGCTAGTTAATGAAGTACTTTTTGTAAGTTTTAACTAATTCTCTGAAGTACACAATAGTATCCTGAATGAATGAATGAGGAATAATACTATCATGTGCTTATCAAACAAGATTTCTACTAATTTTGCAATGAAATTCACTTAAATTTTTTTTAGTGCTGGGGTTTGAATTCAGGGCCATGTGCTTGCTAGGTAGGTCCTCTACCATTTTAGCAATGCCCCTAGCCCTTTTTACTTAAATTATTTTTCAGATAGAATATTTCATTTATGCCTATGCTAGTTTAGAATTGGATCTTCCTATTTATGCTTCCCATGTGGCACCTATTACCACAATAGGCTTTTTATATCCAGTTAGAATAGAGTTTTATGAATATTATTCCTGGGCTGGCCTGTAATAATGAACTTGCCGTTCATTCTTTACCTCCTATTAGCTAGACTTACTGGTGTCAGTCACTGTATTTACCTGGCATACAAATATTTTAGTTGAAGCCGGGAGCTGGTAGCTCATGCCTATAATCCTAGCTGAGATCTGAGGATCACGGTTCAAAGCCAAGTCTGGATAGGAAACTCTGTGAGACTCTTACCTCCAATAAACCATTAGAAAACCAGAAGTGATAGTGTGGCTCAAGCGGTAGAGTGCTCACCTTGTGCTGAAGAGCTCAGGAACAGCACCCAAGTCCAGAGATCAAGCCCCATGACCGACAATAACAACAACAACAACAAATACTTTAGTCAAGTTTCAGAATTATGCCTCCTCTAAATAGTACCATATCCGTCTGTGAGTATTTTTGAAGATGTTCTTGAGCTCTTTTGAGAATTATCTTATATTCTTCCTGGTTTACTTATTCATAAAACCAGGGAGAAGGAAATAGTGAAAGAGAAGCAATTTTGGTAAGTTTGATTAAGCACTGATTTTTTTTTTTCTCTTTGTGGTTCTAGTTTGAGTGAAAAAACTTGTCTGCAGGAAGATAATCAGCCAAAGGCTTGCAAAACTGTACGACCAATGCGGGGCCGATTACAACGACCAAAGCCAAATGTAGGGAAAGCTTTAGAAAGAAAAATGATCACACCACAGGAAAAAATTGGGGACAATATAGAGAAGAATGGGAATGAATCTTGTGTTGATAGAGATGTAAGTACTTTGATTCTATTCCACATTTTGCTAAATAAATAAGGTTTACCATAAGCCTCTTAACCTTTTAAAAACATCATTTCTATATAACTTGTGCTAACATACTATATTTGTGGTCAATATCTCTTAGCAGCTTTGCTTATTTTAAAGTTTTATTTTATTTTATTTTTTTATTTTAAAGTTTTCTAGTGGGGTTTTCTAGTGATTTATTGGAGATAAGAGTCTCACAGAGTTTCCTGCCCTGGCTTTGAACCGTGATCCTCAGATCTCAGCCTCCTGAGTAGCTAGGATTATAGGCGTGAGCCACTGGCACCCAGCCAAACTTACACATTCTAGGGAAGTACTTTACTACTGAGTCACTACCCACCAATTCACAAATGGAGATAGGTAATTATGTGACTTATTACTGTTTGTCTTAAACAAACTTAAAAAGTTAAAAGCTTCCCACTAAAGCATAATTCTAAGGATAAGATTATGAATTTTGCTTTGGTTTTCTGTTTGTGGTGAATGGGAGTTGAATTCAAGGCCTTGCATATCCTAGGCAAGTACTTTACCACTATGCTACATCCTCAGCTTATTAATATTTCTTTTTTTTTTTTGTCTGTCGTGGGGCTTGAACTCTGGGCCTGGGCGCTGTCCCTCAGCTCTTCAGCTCAAGGCGAGTGCTCTACCACTTGAGCTACAGTACCACTTCCGGTTTTCTGGTGGTTTATTGGCGATAGGAGTCTCACGGTCTCTCCTGCCCGAGCTGGCTTTGAACTGCGATCCTCAGATCTCAGCCTCCAGAGTAGCTAGGATTACAGGCGTGAGCCACCAGCCCCCGGCTTTTGTTAGTATTTCTTGATGGTTTAATTCCTATGATTTATAATATAATTATAACAATTAGAAGAATTTGGAAAGATGAACCATGGTGTAATTCTGAGGATGAGACTGAAACACATGAGACTGAAACATTGCTTTGTGGTTGGTTGGAGAACAGTGGAGGTGGAGACTTTGAGTATAGTTGGTGCCTTAGAGAGTTTTCTTACATACCTAAAGGAAAAGGCAAAAACAGAAACTTTAGAAAGCATTTTTTGGATATCATTTTATAATTATGAACTTCAAACTTTTAATTTTTTATTATATCCAATTAAATTTTTAAAAGTTTTTTTTTGGTCCAGTCGTGGGGCCTGAACTCTGGGCCTGGGCACTGTCCCTTAGCTCTTCAGCTCAAGGCTAGCTCTCTACCACTTGAGCCACAGCGCCACTTCCGGCTTTTTTCTTATGTGGTGCTGAGGAATCGAACCCAGGGCCTCAGGCATGCAAGGCAAGCGCTCTACCACTGAGCCACCTTCCCAGCCCCAAATTTTTATTTTAATTTTATTTATTTATTTATTTATTTTTTAGCAGCCCCAAATTTTTAAAAGTTTTTTATTCAACTTTTTTTTTGTTATACTAGGATTTGAATTTTATTCTTTTAGTTTGCTACGTAGTGGTTCTACCATGTCTTTTTATTGGTGAGGATCTTGCTTTTTTTACCCTGTGCTGCAATTCAATCATAATCCATTTACTTCTCCTGCATAGATAGGATTACAGGCATGGGCTGCTATGTCTAGCATTCTTGTTGACAGGAGATCTCACTTGTTTTTCTTTTTGCCAGTCCTGGGCTCTGGGCCTGAGTCTCTCTGCGTTCAAGGCTCAAGGCTAGCACTCTATCACTTGAGCCACAGTGCCACTTCTAGCTTTTTCAATTTATGTGGTACTTATGAATGGAACCCAGGGCTTCATGCATGGTAGGAATACCACTGAGCCACATTTCCAGCCCAGATCTCATTTTTTAAATTGTCACATTTATTCTCTTGATCTCTTACTCCAAGTAGTACACAACTAGGGTTAGCTAAGTAACAATTTTCATTGAAGTTTTTCAAATTTACTTGTTTTGTTGTAAATTTGCTTTTGTTTTTTGTATTCTGTGAGAATTGAACTTAGGCCTTCGCTCAGGCAAGGATCATGCCCCTTAAACAATACCCATTGTTCTTATGGTAAATCTAAAACAGTAACATTTTTGTTTGGTGTTAAGATTACTCCACAAACAACAGATCAGACCTTTAAAAACTTCCAGTGCGAAGATACCATATCAGAATCTGAGAAGACTAATAGTCCTTTTCAAAATGTACTGCCAGATGAGTCCAAAGATCTTAATCAATATCTAAGGTAAGCATTACTTAATGGTCAAGTAATTTTAACTTTTTTTTTTTTTAACAAGTCCTGAGGCTTGAACTTAGGGCCTGGGCACTGTCCCTGAGCTTCTTTTGGTCTACCACTTGAGTCACAGCGCCACTTCTGGCTTTTTCTGTTTATGTGGTATTGAGGAATCAAACTCAGGGCTTCTTGCATGGTAGGAAAGCACTCTACCACTAAGCTATATTCCCATCCCCCAATTTTAAAGTTTTATATAAAGTTTTATGGCCCTCATTTTTTTTTCCTTTTTCTCCCTTCCCTCCCCTCCTTCCCTTCCCTCCCCTTCCTCCCCTTCCTCTCCTCCCTCTCTCCCTTCTTTCCCTCCCTTCCTCCCTCCCTCCCTTCCTTTCTGTTCTGAATTCATTCTTTCTTTTTGGCTAGTTCTGAATTCAGGACCTGAGCTCTGTTCCTTAGCCCTTTCATTTAAGGCTAATGCTCTACCACTTGAGCCACAGTTGTACTTCTGGCTTTTTGGTGGTTAACTGGCCAAAATAATCTAATCAATATTTCTGCCTTAATTGGCTTCAAACCTTGAACCTTTATACCTAGATGTCAGCCTCCTGAGGTCACTTTCTTCATTACTGTTTTGCTTTAACTTCCCTTTCTTCCTCCCTCCTTCCCTTCCATTGATACATTTATTCATAGTTAGAGTCTCCTTGTGCAGCTTACACTGGCCTTAAATATCCTCCTGCTTCAGTGTCTTGAATGCTGAGATTACAGGTGTGCAACACCATGACTGGCTTTAATAGTTTTTAGTTTTAGGACTTCTTGTGTTTCCATAGTTATTTCTCACCCATCCTCTCAACTTTCAGTCTAATTTAAGATTTCTTTTTTATCCCCCCATAAGCATTCCAGAGGATAATGAAACAAATGTACTCAAACAAGTCTCAATTCAAAGGACTCTATTTCAGAAGCCAAAGCCAAATATAGGAAGAAGAAATGGAAAAAGAGAAATTTCCTCAAAGGGAGAGGTGCCAGAAGAAATTCTTGTCTCTCAAGAACTAACAGCAACTTCGAGAGAAACTGTAAGACTAGATACTTCACCTGGGGAGAAGGTACCAAGTACAACTGCTAGTAAGGAATTGGACTCAGATTTAAAAGCAACTGGAAGAAGTGACATCTCTCCCAGTGAGATCATTACAGAAATGACTGATATCACTGGGGAAACGGAGACAGATTTGAAAGGAATTGAAAGAGACATTTCCCCAAAAGAGACAGTACAGGGAATGATTGATATCACTGTAGAAACAGAGACTGCTTTGAGATCAGCTAGAAAAGAGGTTTCTTCAAAGGAGACAATACCTGAGTTGATTGATACCATTGAGGAAAATGACACAAATTTGGAAGAAAGTGGAAAGGAAATAGTTCCACAAGAAAGTGGCCCTGATGTAGACAAGCCTGCAATTGAGATGGAGATGAGTTTGAAAGAAACTGGAAAAGAGAGAACATCAGAAATGATTGTTACTACTAACAAAAGAGATTTAGAAGAAACTGAGGGAAGAGAAAGATCTGCACTGCTAAAGGCCCAAGAGGAGGCCAAAACTATAGATGAAATGAAAATATATTTGAAAGAAATCAGAGGAGAATCATCCCAAGGAGTAAAGGTATTAGAGGAGGCTAGTGTTACTGGAAAAAGGGAAATTGATTTCAATGAAACTGGAAAAGAAGACATTTCCCTGATGGAGGTAGTATCAGGAAGGTTGACTGCCATTGAGGAAACTGAGGCAGATTTCAAAGACACAGGAAGAGAAATTTCTGAAGGGATCAATATTACTAAAGAAGTAATGGCAGACTTGGAAGAAGATGGAAATATAGACATTTCTCCAAAGGAAAATGCAGCAGAGGAATCTGGTACTTCAAAACAAAATGAGACAAATGTATTGCAGAGCAGTAGTAGTGACTGCATCCCTGTGCCTTCATGTGATATGGAAGTATGTATTTTTCTCTTCTTTAAACATTTTTTTTTTTTTGCCAGTCATGGACCTGAACTTTGAGTCTGGGCGCTGTCCCTCAGCTCTTCAACTCAAGGCGAGCGCTCTACCGCTTGAGCCACAGCACCACTTCTGGCCTTTTCTGTTTGTGTGGTGCTGAGGAATCGAACCCAGGGCCTCATGCATGCAAGGCAAGCACTCTACCACTGAGCCACCTTCCCAACCCTTCTTTAAACATTTTTGAGGCCTGGGAATGTAGTTTAGTGGTAGAGTACTTGCCTAGCATGCATGAAGCCCTGGGTTTGATACCTAAGTACCACATAAACAGAAAAAGCTAGCAGCGGTATTATGGTTCAAGTGGTAGAGTGCTATCATTGAACAAAAGAAGCTCAGGGACAATGCCTAGGCCCCGAGTTCAAGCCCCATGGCTGACTAAATAAATACATAAATAAATACATAAATAAATTCATTGTGAAGCTGGTAGCTCACACTAGTTAATGCTAACTACTTAGGAGGCTGAGATCTGAGGTCACTGTTTGAGGCTAGCCTGGTCAGGAAAGTCTGTGACACTCTTATCTTCACTAAACTACTCTGAAAAAAACAGAAGTGTTGTATCTCAAGTGGTAGAACTCTAGTTTTGAACACATTGAAGTTCAGGGACAGAGCCAAGGCCCTGAGTTCAAGCCCCAGTACTGGCAAAAAAAATATTTTTATTTTTGGAATACTTTTTCAGAGAAAAGTTGCCAAAATAACTTCACATTATTTCATGATTATTGCCCTTAAATTCAATAGCACTTAAAGTCTCTGAAAGCCTAAAGTCTTCTTTTAGCCTGAATTTTGTGTTTCAGGATTGTTACCAACATTTGTGTATGTGTACACACGTATGCACACACCCGTATTCGGACTTAAACTCGAGATCTTGTGCACTTGCTTGTTTTTTTTTTCACTCAGAACTGGTGTTCTCCCACTTGATCTACACCTCTGCTTCTGGCTTTTTGCTGGTTAATTGGAAATAAGTGTGTCATTGATTTGTTTGCCTGGTCTTTCTTTGAATTGTAATCTTCAGATCTCAACCTCCTGAATAGCTAGTATTATAGGTGTAAGCCACCTTTAATTTGTTTTCTTTAAAAACAAAGCAAACCGAAACTTAAATAGGTACTATTTCTCATGGCAATTTGGTGTTGGTTAAAGAAATACATAAAATTGGACTGGATATGTACTAACTTTATGAAGCTGGAATTATTTCTCTTGCCCATGGTTATTTCTGTTTCTTTCTTTATTTCTTTTCTTACTACATTCTCTTCACTTAATAACAATTCCTTTTTCTTGACAGTTGCCTTATTTAAGTTCATACACTTGAAACAGCTAGCGCTGTACCACTTGAGCCACAGCACCACTTCTGGCCTTTTCTGCTTATGTGGTGCTGAGGAATTGAACCCAGGGCCTCATGCATATGAGGCAAGCACTTTACCACTGAGCCATTGTTCCAGCCCCACTTGAAACATTTTTTAGGACTATTTTTCTAATTTTTAAAGTTTTTAAAAAAGATACAATGGCATTTATGGTTTGGAGTAATTATAAAATACAATATAAAAGGAAGATATTCTAGAGTTCTATGTTTTAACATTTGTAGTCAATCTTACTTGAAAGTTAAAAAAAACAAGCTTAACTTTTTAAAGGATTGTGTCTAGAAAATTGTAGGCTTTTGTTTGAAATGTCTATGAACGTTGTATATATTTAGCTTTACTTTGTTTTTTGCTTTAGAACATTAGAACTGAAGCAGCCTCGGTGATGTGTACATCTACAAAAGAGAAAGAAAGTTCTGAAAAGGAAGTGTCAAGTCATTTGAAGACTTTTTCACAGAGTTCTGGGCTTTGTGAAGCAGATCAGGTTGTACAACCTACAGATAATGCAGATCAGGTGGTACAACCTACAGATAATGCAGAACACTTGTCAGCGAGTAACTTAAGGTACAAGTTGGTGTGTGTGTGTGTGTGTGTGTGTGTGCATGCACATGTACTTAAAAAAAAAAACTCCCCAATAAGCATTTATTTTATAACAGTTTGAAAGTTACAGAAAGTATGTGAAGACTGACAGAAACTCTGTGTATGCATAAACCATTTCTCCTATTATTAGAATCTTATATATGGTAAATTTGCTATAATTAATGATCCAATATTAAAAAGTACAATATTAAAAGTCCACATAGGGGCTGGGAAGGTGGCTCAGTGGTAGAGCGCTTGCCTTGCATGCCTGAGGCCCTGGGTTCGATCCCTCAGTACCATATAAGCAAAAATAAAAAAGCTGGAAGTGGCGCTGTGGCTCAAGTGGTAGAGTGCTAGCCTTGAGCTG